TTCCTTTGGATATGATGTAAAACTAGACCCTGTGAGCAGGGTAACTGGGATACCTGGATGGTACTGGATCCTTGGAATCAAGTGTAGTGATACTGCGGGTGTCGGACTAGTTTACTGAAATAGTGCGCTCAAGTCTGGCCAAGGGCATACACCTATTTCAAGACATAGGCATGCTATGCATGCAAGAGTTACTTTTTTGTAGGTTGGGTGGATTACTTGAAACATTGTGAGTGATGTCTACATTCTTAAAAAAGGAGAGAAGAATATTAATGTGGGAAAGAACGAAAATGTCGAATTACCTCCCTCACAGGTATTTTGTGGTAGATTATGTGTGTTTTGCGAATAAATGTAACCAAAAAATAAACTGTATTGGTGCCAAGGATACCTGTTAGTACAAAATGTAGAGAGTAGACCGGATACAAAATATAGACTGCAGACTGCAGAGTGGGTACAAAATGCAGACTAAGAATCTGAAGAGTTTTTACGTCTGGTTTATAATAACATGTCATCTTACAGCTTACTGAGTGTCACGCAATCGCTTTTCTGCGATCCGCTTTCACGATTATTTGGACTATTGTAAAATATTCCTCGCCTATTTCTTGATGAAAATCGATCGCAATATAATTTCAAGCCTTCAATATAGTCTTCTTACTTTGCGCGCGAGTTGGTTGGTGTGATGTCTGTACAGATTTTACCAACGTAATAAAAGTAGATGACGTAATAACAGTGATGATAAAGCAAGCTTAAAACGGCAGAAATCGCCAGAAAATGCAACAGATGCACAGGGTATGAGTAAGTTTTATTGATTTTACGAGAAAAATGTTCATATTTCGAAATATGTGTCGTTGTAAATCGACCATACTTCGTTCCCTATACTATTCCTTATGCACTAGTCAGTGGAAAGCCCCGCACCCCCATACCCGGGGAATAGCGGGGTATTAGACCAGGCGTCCCAACTAAATGAAGCAAATTCCCCGCTATGCAGGGCAATTTCTTATGTCAAAACCTCATTTTTGTACTCCGCCCCCGGGGCAATACTTGAAAAATCCCAAATACACAACGTTGACCAAAATTAATTTATTTCAAGAATTGTGCCTCAAATTTAACTCTTACAAAAACTTTTTCAATGTCTTCATAAAATAGATGAAACAATCATGGCTTCCTCTACTCCTCTTGGTAAGACATAGTTCTGTAAACTTTTCTCTGGACGTGTAAATGACTAAAAAAAAACGCCCATTGGCTCGGTTTGCACAGTTGCAACGGAAATGAAAACAAGTGCCAAAAGACAAAAGGTCAACGCTCTAAATAAATCGCTAATCAAGCATGACGAGGGCATAAACAATACCCAACTTTTTCTAATTTCACTACAAGACATGATAACATTTAGAGATTGAACACAGAATTTAATCGATGGCCCATTACAAGCATGAAAAGAATAGATTTTAAATCGTACATACCTTCTTGTTGGCGGCCGCTTTCCCAGTGTTCTTTGCAGGCCTATTCAAAAGCGAAATCCCCGCCAAAGCCCCGCTAGCCCCGCTAACGGTCCCCGGTCGCTGTTATTTGTGTCTAATGTTGTCGAACACCCCGCACACTGGGGCAAAGATGACCACTAAAAACCGCTAAAATCCTCCGCTAATGACCCGCATTCCCCGGGTATGGGGTTGCGGGGCTTTTCACTGACTAGTGCATTATAACGTGCAGTTCCTCTCGTAACTTAACACCGAGTCACACAACGCGTGACGCGTTCATGAATTAATCGTTGGCTTTTTCTCGAGACGTGAGCTTGGGCCGCCTGTGACAAGACAATTGCGTAAACAGTATTTAACATAATAACATTATACACAAATAAACACAGGGTTTTGGATCACGTATTTATTCAAAAAGAATATCCATACAACTACAATAAAAACAAACATAAGATTCACCTTTCTGATCGTGAAATTAATACCATTCATACTGTTATCGTAGCTACGTTCCTTGCCATCAAGTGAATCCAACATGTCGTCTTTCTTCACAAGCAGTTTGCATCCATTATAGTTATGTTCTTCAGTCTCACGGTAGTAGTGTTGCTCAATAGATTGCATAGAGTATATGCAGTTTGGTTTCAGATTTCAGATTTTGCTTTTTACAACAAGTGAACGTTTTTCAACTAAGACATTGGCATACGTAGCATACAAGGCATTCAAGGCTTTCATGGTTTTCAAGCGTTTGCGACTCAATCCATCCAAAATTACTGCTCAAAAACATCTTTCAGTGTGGATTAGCCGCGATTAATACGACTTGTATACGCGTCTGTAAGTATTTTGCGCGTTTGCGCCATAATGCTCCAGGAAATCGCAATCCAAATACGTTGAAATACAAAACATCTGACCAAAGAGTTTTATAAGCAAAATCTCGTGATTCGTCATGTGACCCGGCCCTGTCTGTGCATGACAACGTCAATCATCATCAAGATAACACGCGTGATCAGCATGTGAGCACGTCATTGGATCACAATTAGTTGTCATGGTGTTAAGGGATAACACGCGTGATCAGCATGTGAACACCTCATTAGATCACAGTTAGTTGTCATGGTGTTGAGGGCCCAATGACCTTTGGGTACTATTGCGCAATTTTTCCATTTCGTGGCGGAGGAAAAAAAAAAAAAAGACGACAAAAAAACAAAGGCATTTTATGACTGGGCTAACACAGGTATCAAAACCCGAATTATTTCTGAAGATCTAGGCATCAAAGGCTAACAAAACAACACTGCAACCTCTTAGAGACATCCTTAATTTTATTACAACTCGCTTATACTGAAGGAAAAAATAAACAATAGTCTGTCAACGGATATTTCAATCAATAAGAAAAGCTTCTCACTTGGGCAGGCAATGCATCCTCGGGCAACAAAGCTCAGAATTGCTTTAGAGCCGTTGTTAAACATGTAACAGCCAGTAGCCGAGAAACAGCTGTCAGTTGTCGGGTTCGTACAATTATCTGCCTCTTGAGACAGACAATCACCAAAAGCACTACGGAAACACGCTTTACACTGTGTTGTATTAACTACAGCCTAGGAAATAAAATATTGAGAGGTGTTAAAACTCAGACCTACTTCTTTGTAAGTATAAACCGAACATTAGCGTTTCAAAGCATGAATAAAGGGAGTAAGATTCTACAGAAACTATGGTGTTGCGTCGGTTGGAGAGTCTAACAGGGTTGTTAAGTATTATCTACGAGTTGAAAACGCTCCAACTGAGGAAAGATCGTGTCTGATGGCAGTGACAGTGAATTGTTTTTAGAGGAATCGGGCAAATATGATTTGCAGCAAAGGCGAAACTCTTTGATCCGCGCGAATGCTAATAAACAACAGTTATATGGTTATTAGTAAAGCCCAGTATATATCAGATTGTCTCACTGTCAATTTGCAACTAAGAATTGTTGGAGGTTTCTTTGATTTTGCTTGAAAAGACGATACCATTTTTAATCTCAAAGTATCGTTTTAAAATTCCGCTTTAAATAGTTTCTCGAGGACGAAAACTCCGCTGAAAACTTTTTTCAAAAGCAAAGTTTCCTCTGTCATTTTTTACTAACCATATCCGACCCAAACTCCTGAGAAGAAGTAAACAAGAGTCGCTGAAAGCTTCATTTTGTCTTCGTTGTGCTTGTAAGTAATAAAGAGTCTTGAGAGTCGTGCACCAGAAGGTGAAGTTTCTCCAAATTAAAGATTCCTTACAAAGTGTCGGCGGACAAATTTTAAGTATTATGACAATTATGCTGTATGATGCACCTGGTTTCTAACTTTAAATGAAAACTCCTAGACATGATGGCTGCTTGAAACTAAACCACTCAGTATTAGTTAAAGCACAAAGAAAATGTATGACCTACGGGCAACTAGGTGGTTAAGGTTTATGATTAGGATCTTTTTAATAATAAACGAAAAACAAAAATTGTTTTTTACTTCTATTTCTCCGAACACAACAAGGGATAAAACTTACTCATCAGCATGAAGTTCCTACCCTGTACACAATTTCTTAAGGATGAATCTTTAATGTCGGTCCGATTAAAATAGCCCTCTATCTTGCGGGTATCTCAAAATATGACTTAACTGGTAATAGTTCTCGCTAAAACTACCCCTAGCCTTTGAAATATATGCAAAATTTATTTAATTTACTGGAGATGTAAACTGCCTTATATTCTTCCAGAAAGGAAACGAAAAACACTATACGAAAATGAAACTAAACTGATTAGCAGCACTGCACGAATTATGATAGTAAAAACTTTTTGTATTTAATTTTCCTATGCGTTTTGTCGTTTAGCCTACAGTCAAATCTATATTAAGCGACGCCGTATTTGTAGTAAGCTGTCAGATAACAAGCAATGCATTTTGGAAGTAAGGTGAGGTATTTTTTGTGATAATTTGACTGATTTTTATATTCCTTAGAGCGGTCGGAAATATTCCCATACAAACTCTGAAAATTTCGCCATGACTCCTATTTCGCAAGATGATCAACTCACAATTGGAGCTTGGGCGGCCTTTGGTTAAACCTAATTAATTGAAAGTTCTAACTGACTATTTGTGTGTTTAGAGCGCATGATTAAATGCTCTAATTGGATTTCAAAGGGCTTATATAAATGTTTGAATCACAAGTTGAAAGGTTACAGTTAATATTGCAAAGGACAATTAATGAGTGTATTTTTGAATAAAAATTGATCAATTTAACTTTGGCGGTGATGGAAGGCCATAGCATTCTTAGTGGTTTCTTTAAAAGCAGCACACGTGCGACGATTTTTCCGGAAGGGACCCTGTGTTGTTGACAGTAACCTTAAGATAAAGGATATGTTCAATAATGTAAGCGAACTTGATTACAACTGAGATGGCGAGTAGCCGCCCTCACATAAAAACATACTGATATAATTTCATGTTAATTTTCCTTTAAGAACCCCATGCAGAAATAAGTTGTCGAGGTTAAATCACCACAAACTGAACGTGACGATCATTTTAAAACCCCAAAGATGAGAGCTTTATTGTTATTGTATTCCTAGATAAAAGGTTGAATACTGTTATTGTGTTGAAGCTGCACTTGAAGACAAGATCAGATGCAAATATGACCAAAGAATGGCCTAAAAATTCCTACGTTGGTCTCGTTATAGGACAAATTCTTTGAAAACCGGGAGGGGAGTTGTTTATTGCCAAATAAGTAAAAAAACTCTCTTCAAAAAAAGCCCAACGCCGAAACATCTAGTAGCGAGGAACACATATAACAAAATACTACAAAGTAGCATCATTTACTCAGGCAATTCCATACACACTACACGAAGGAATGGGGTCGTTACAGCCCGGCTGAATGAGCGGGAACTCTCCATAGATAATTTGATACCTATCTTATCATCTCATCATGTACCGAGCTAGGCTTCTTTCCCAACCAATAAAGATCCCAACACCAAAACCTATATCTAAAAGGTAAAACATCGGGAGGAAACTGACTGAAACTACCCTTAAACAAGACACCGAAATGGAACTAAAAGTCACTTCTGAAAAAAATCTACTTATACGTTAGTTGGCTCAGTCCGGTCCTTCTTCTTCCACTGTGAGGAAGCCTAATTGTATTTTGGCATGATGCGCTTTCCATGTGCATCACGGGCAAAGACTGGGCAGGTATCTGGAGGGAATGGCCAAGGTCCAGCCTTCTTCTCAGCCTCCTTGGAGATCTCATGAACCCTCTTTATCAACTTCTCGAATGCAGCCCGACCCTTTGGAGTGGTAGTCTTATCTCGCATTTCGGCTAGTTTGCCCGCGTACTCACCCATGGTTGTCAGATTCTTGAAGGGACATCCGTCTTTGAAACCAGGGCAGTTTTCGGCGATTCCTTTCATTTCATCAACAAGACCTGTATATGGGCACACACCTTTACCAAAAACTGGACACTTCTTGACGATCTCTTCAACCGTCAAAGAATAGGAACACTGCAGGTTAAAAGGGAAAATAAAGTTGAACTAAAAACAAGAATATTTACTAGGAGTCGGTACACAACAGCTCAAGTAAATCAACTGGGCACTTCTTGACGAGCTCTTCAACCGTCAAAGAATATGGACACTGCAGGTTCAAGCGGATATAAAGTTGAACTAGAAACAAGAATATTCACTGGGAACCGGTACACAACAGCTCGAATAAATCAGCCGTGAGCTAGTCACAATTTTCTTTATTTCAGGTTATAGATTCTGTAGAATGATTCGTGTTTCGAGATTTGCTATGAAAGTGGAAAAAACACTATACAGTGACAATTGTTTGGCATTGCTTAAAAAAAACTAGGGAACGAAAAGAAATTCCCACACCAAAGCAATACGTTAGAAAGCTCTTTATCGATGGTTTCCATTTAATATTTTCATTCTGAAACCGAAATTACTCACTTCAATGTATGCAGGTTTCAAAATCTCCTTTCCTGCAGTGTCTTTGGCAAAGGGGCAGCCACCCTTGAAGAGGCTTTGAGTTCTGTGCTCTACATGTTTTTCCTTACTAAGAAAGACGACATCCTTCAAAAACTCGATCCATTGAGCTTCGCCTTTGCACTGGTCACGCATCTGACCCATCATGTCTTGAAGCTCACCCACGGTCTTGCATTGTTTGAAAGGGCAACCATTGTTGAAAGGAGGACATTTGGCACAGACGCCTTTCTTTTCTTGGGCAAGCTTGGCATATGGGCAGCCACCACCAAGAAATGCTGGGCAGTGCTTGGATATGTAATCTACGGTGACGTCTGACTTCTAAAAGGTTGAAAGAAAAACGGAAAACCAAGGCTCAACGAGGCGTTTCCTTATTTATGACGGCCGGAATCCAAAACATTTACCATTTGGGGCCATACATTTAGCACATCATAGCTGCCAGAACAATGTAGTTGTGAGGTTAGCGAGAATACGATTGACCCAAACTGACTTACAAAGTCATGCTTACAAAGCGACCGAGAACTGCGTTTGTGGCCCGAAAGAGAAAGTTTTGAAGTTGTGCACACCATTTAGTGTCTCCTAATCTATTTCTTGAGTCCTCAACGATTTCAATATTTCTGTGGTGTCTTAAATTTAAGTTACTGCATAGGTGAAAAAGTTTTTTTGTTTTGGACTTTCCAAATTCGCTCAAGTACATTCATTCCCACATGGCTGACTGGGTTGACGTCTTGTGACTGTAGAGTATAGATTTTTCTTGGACTTTTCGATAAGCTCCCACTACAATTAAAATTTTAAGGCGGAATGTGTTGCTCAAATACTACTTTAATCGCTCGAAATAGAAAGTTCTGAGTTTAACTGATTAAGCTCAGTTTTTTTCAACAGGCAGTTTATTCATTAAAATGAAAAACTAAAACGATCAACTATAGTAATTTCATCTTATAAATACGTTGTGTCTGTATTGCATAAGAACAATAGATTACATAACCATGATTCCTTTTGGGCTTATAACTGAGCAAGACGAAGGACGAAACTGGCGACACATCGAGATATTGTTCATTGTCATAAAGACAACGTCTTGCCAGATAGAAACTGTGGGCTTGCAACGTTCTTTGGCCACAATTTGAACGACCTTATCATTTTTAACTCGTGAAGTGCGCGCATGCGCAAGAGCGAGTTATAGATACGATGTGGGGAATGGAATTCGCTCGATTGGTCGATTCCTGTAAACGTTTTTTAGATTTTAGGCTTTTGAGTGCATTTTATAGTTTTTGGCGAGCAATAAACAGACGAAATGGCGACCTTTTTTGCTAAGAATAGTTTTTCTGTTATAGCGTGAGATTGAGGACAAAATTGATCATTACGTTTCGTCGCGTGTGTTTTTCCTGTGTGAAGCAACAGAAGATGCCGGCGACTGACGAAATAACAAGTTAACACGAAAATCAGATAACACCTAAACAAACAATTTTAGCTACCGATTTCAGTGAATTTTTAAAGAAAAATTTTCTTTTAAGTTTTTAAGACAATTTGAAGATTCAACATACATACAACGTACTAAAATGCGAAAGTTACATACCACGAAATTGATAACTAGGCCTGAAATGAAATTCTATCTTGTTATTGATTATACGTTGCCTAGCACGTGACTTAAATCTACCCAGGCGGAGATCCAAAATGACGGTGGCAGGCTTGGCTTAATTATATCACTCAAAACTCGTTCCCGTTTGTCTCATTTGATAAAGAGGGAATCGTTAATGTTTTCATTAAGACAGTATTGCCTCGATTTTCTAATATTTACAACGAAAGACAGTAAATTTCACTTTTCACCCACATTTACTTCCAACCTTTTCTTTTGAACCAGAAACAAAAATGATAGACGTTTAAAACACATGACATCATCCACCTTGTCAAATGTAATAGCATGATCATTTCAATTGTAATGCCTTCTTATCCCAACGTTACTTTGTTTCTTTGAACTACTGCTCGTACTCTAGATATGACAATCAACCACAAAATTCCCTAAACCAGATAACATTAAACATAATCTAAAAAATCATGTGTCAATTCACGAGTTTGCTCACAGAGCACTTTGATCTTAACATGGGGCGTATCTTCTGTTTGTTTGCTTTTATGGTTTAATAGCGGAAATTATGAACTAAATTAACTTCATATGTACTAGGTTACTTCTGGAAAATCAATGGATTCCAATGAGGCCTGTGCCTTTGTCTTCTAGCTAGTTCCCCTGTATATATGTTTTTGATAGTTAAAGGTATGCAAAGGAAAGTTCTTATTTAATTTTTTAAGGTTGTGTGGGCCGCGATGCCACTCAAACAGGTTGCAAAGACCAACCATGGAGTCAACAGCTTTGATTTGAAGAGACGAAAACGAAAAGTGAATTGTCAAGCCAATAAAATACTAGTAACTTGATTTCTACATCGAATAAAATCAAGAAGAAGCACGACAATTCAATCTACTGTTTCTTGTGGCCTTGCGAGAGAACGGAATAGTTTAGGTTTTCCTCATTTTGCACTCCATCATTTGAGATAAAATTTAATTCATTAAAGGGGAGAAAACATTGCTTTCATGAACTTAGCTTTTTTTCGCTTTTGTAAGTCATCCAAAGAGCTCATTCTCAATATGATTACTACTTTTTTTCTATCCTACGAAAACCACGCAATGGACGACAGTAATAATAAAATCATCATTCGTCACTCACTTTTAGGATACTTAGCATCAGAAGTGACATGCACTGGTTATATTTCCTCAGGATAAAAGAGTTTCAAAAACTACAATATTCTAATTAGAAAAGACAGTATTTAGGGAGAGTCACAAAGATTGAACATCAAATGCTATAGCTTTAGCTCCTCAATAAAAAAATTTGAGACAGTATTTAATCGAACCCCTTGGTTAACTTCAGGACTGAGTCACTTACTAGCTTAGATGAAGCCATGTAGAGCTCGCAGGAAGACTTTCTTGCAAAAAGAATTCAAAGACTCGTAAGCTATAGTAGTTCACACTGTTACTGACTTGCTCAACTGATTATGCTGGGCTTGGGTGTATCAATTAAAAAGCAAAAGCGAGGCAAATAACAATGGATGATTGACGCATCAAAACAGGTTATTCTCGATCAAACCGGTTTTCCCAATACAGGGTGCAGTGCATCATTCAGTGAGAATACCTTACCTGTAAATTTGTCATCAAAGTTTCTGATTATTCGTATCAATAGAAGGACCGTCCAAATCTGGTCATTTTAAACTCTTTTTATGAGAAACCAAATGCTTGACTCATCATAAGAATAGATATGTAATTGTCGACCATCATAAAAGACACCACCAGCCTATCGATCTAACTCAGTAAGAACTTTTCAATGCGTCGCGATTCACCTTTGCCATTAAAAGCTAAAAAATAAGCTTAAAATAAGTTTGGGAGACATTTTAATACACCTTTGAACGGCACAGGAAACACTGATCTTCGCATCATTTTTTTTCCCGAAACCGCGAAATGCGCTGAATTCGCAAGTCGGGAAGATTTTAAATAACCGCATACGAAACGAAATACCTCAAAGGCTGTTTCCATATGTGGTAATTAGACACCAAAGAAGCAGTGTGTCATTGTCCCTCGATAATGATAATGTTAGAAACGACGAAACATTTGACATAATTGGCTGTGATATATTGCTAATAAAGTTCTCAATGGACGTTTAACGTTTATAAAAGGTTCAAAACTGTAGCTATATGAAGACAAGCATCGGTGGTCATGCGGTCATAAATTCAATCCCAATAGAGTTATCTATAATTATCTCAATTACCAAGAGTCTTTTCTTTTTTTTTTTTGGTTTGTCCTTTTTGGCGCAATCACTACAATATAGACTCCCTTAGGCAAATCCTGTTTACTACGAAACACGTACAATGTTGCAACCTTGAGTAGATGTTGTACGCGGCAGGAACATAACAGGCCAAAAGCGATATCTTTGCTTTCTTTAAACCTGCTGACTTCAGTCTTTAAGACTCCAGATCCCGAAAGCTCTTTGGAAAGTCTTAGGTATCCCAGAATATAACATGTGTTGCATATCTCAGACCATCAAAGGTCAGAATGAATTGAAGTTATTTTCAAAACAACACAAGAAGTCACGAACAACATATTAACCAATTCCAGGCTCACTTGTATACTGGAAAAACTAAATAGTTAAAAGTCTTCAACCAAGCATAACTTTAGTTAAGCTTGGTTAAGTTCTCTTTTTGCTGACGTGCTACGTTTCTCTTCTTACTTTTCGGTTTTAAAACCTGGTGCATCACTGACATTGGATAACATTGAGCACATTGGAAGACCAAAGAAGGTTCTACAAGTGCGGTTTGAAAACTTGGCATTACAATTTACATCACTGACCACAACTGGCTGTTACGTGATATCCGCCAATATTTTTATTTAATCAAAGGGTCACTGCTCATTGGCCTATCAGATTTTGCATCAGATGTCATAGAGATTTGGCAATCATGCGTGGTCTAAGGTCTGAATCGGTGTAACAATTCCTTACCCATCTACGGAATAACGGATGAGTTTTAAATTTTTGCGGGCTTCTCAACAGGGCCTGAAGTGGAGCTGAAGTGAACCACAGATCTGGCTCAAGGACAGCTGCAAAAAGTTTAACTCGAGTTTAACTCGACATTGTGCGACCAAAATACTTCAGTGCCGTAGAGATGGCTCTATTCCAAGGCGGAGCTGATTTTCTTATTTTAATTTAAAGCGAAAAAAGTGTTGAAGTTGACCTTGCGGTATCTTTGCTTCTTGTAAACCCGCTAATTTCAGTCTTTTTAGACCATCAAAGGTCAGAACGAATAAAAATTACTCTTCAAAACAACACAAGAAGTCACGAACAACATATCCACCAATTCCACGCTCATCTGTATACTTAAAGCAAAATAGGCCCAAGCTCCAGCTGTGAGATGATCATCTTGTGAAATAAGAGTCATGGCGAAATTGTAAGTGTTTGTAAAGGAATATTTACGACCGCTCTTAGGAATAAAAAAATGAGGTCAAATTTTCAATAAAAATACCTTACCTTACTTCCACAGTACATTAGTTGTTATCTGATCGCTTACTATGTTGAAAAGAACCCACTTTGGTTATTCATTTCTGGGTTTACTACGCACATAAGAGGCTCAAGGCTGCACACTCCATTTCCGAACGAGAAGCAAAAAATCCAAGCTCAAAACTGATGACTGGGCGGCCACAAATCCAACGAAAAATTCCAAGCACATATACTTTAGTTTCATTACAATTCACTACAAACTCAATCTTCACCGTGAAACGGACGCTACGCCGCAATTTGCTTAAAAATTTTCCAGCTTAGACTTTTCTAGCTGCCCGCGTACATATTTACCTTGACAGACGACGAAGGTGAATGTGTACGCGGGAAGTTAGAAACGTCTAAACCGGAAATTTTTCAAGCAAACTTCCCGTTACTGAATGTTTATTTTTCTGCGTTTGTGTTTTGTTTTCTATGGTGAATTCTATACGGAGAATGCGTAGCTGTGTTCGGTTCTGTTGCCATATCATTTTATTCCTTCGCACTATGTGCGGCGAAGGTTCCTCTCGGTCAGTGCTCTAGAGATTGGTTGCTGTAGAGAAATTCGCACTATGTGCGGCGAAGGTTCCTCTCGGTCAGTGCTCTAGAGATTGGTTGCTGTAGAGAAATTCCCTTGGTAAACCAACAGCTAACTTTTGACGAAAGAATCAGCTTTATCACGAGGCACGACGAATTTTTACCGAGAAGTCATCAAGCAGTTTCACTGCAAGTTGCCCCTTTCCTCAAAGATTGCAAAGGCAGAGGCTATCGTCACGATCGTCGAGCCGGTCAAACCGAAAGGAAAACGAGTGAGTTTATAGCCATCTGATTCAACTTAATCTCAAATAGGGATTTTAAAAGAGAAAAAATTCTTTAGTTTAAGTGCAGCATTACTATATTATCCGTTCCGCTCAAAGGAAATAACTGACATCAGTATTAAAATGAATATTTCGTACGCATCGAATTTCGCACGGCACTCGGATTCGCTTCCATCTAATTTAATAAAATTTCTCCTCAATTATCTCGTTGCAATGCTGTTATCATAATGACATTGCTACTGTTGCTACTTTTAGTTTCTTGATGGTAGGAGGGGAATTGATGGCTCGTGGAATGGATTTCCGGAAACCTAGGTTAGGAGAATACACGACCCCTTCGAACTTGTGCTTATGCCAGTATCCGCATGAGGTTTCGCACTGTTCACTCAACGGGATATCGGTCAGCCCAGGAAAGGGCTTGAAATTCATTACAAATGATGTAAGACTGTTGTTAAAATACGATGGAAACTACAATTGGTAGGATTTTCAAACGATACAATAAGAAAAGCGCAAATGTAGTCATGTGGAAAGACAAGGGGTATAAGTACACTTTAAGCGCGTGAAATAGACAACAATAAGGAGCTCACCATTCTTCCCTTGCGGAATGTCAGCCGAAAAGAATGTTGAACAATCGTGCACGGTGTAGGAACAGGCCCCTCAATCAGCATCTTTTTTTTAGCTGAATTCATTGGTTATCTTCCCTTGATTTGACTAGTAGTATGTGTTCGTAACAGGCGTCTTCGAAGCCGGTGCGGAGAACAAGGCTAACGACATTGAAGAATAAAATCTCCTCGATGTCGACGATCGAAACGCGTCCATTTTGGTTATGCAGCTTCATCCTTTCGAAAGTAAGGTATAGAAATACCCGGTTTATGTGTATTACTCTTGTAGCTAACATCATTTGGCGCTTCGGCCACGCAACACGTTCGTCCCTTCTTCTAGTAGATTTCTCCTTTCACCACCATAATTGCCGATAGTTTTCTAAGTCACAGCTATATAACATGATCGTATTGGGCGCGCGCTTAATGGAGACACTTTTAAGCCGCCAAATCGTACTTTCAATGCACAAAAAAATGGTCGAAGAGAACTCGTTAGGCGCAAAGGGCGACTATTTTTAATTTCAAATACAGCTATCGACTGGAAAATGCAAAACATTTTGTGCCATTGGCACTTAAAGTTCAGTTAAGTTTTCTTTTTGCTAACTTGATACTTTTGGGTTTGACAACTTGGTAATATAACTTTGTACCATTAACATTAGATAACACTGAGCAATATTGGAAAACTAAAGAAGGTTTGACAACTTGACATTATAGTTCTCATCACTGACCGCAGCTTGGCTGTTACGTGACACCTGCCAATATTGTTATTAAGTCAAAGGATCACTGCTCAATTGCGTATCGGATGTTGAAATCACGCGTGTTGTAAAGTCTGAATCGGTGTAACAATTCCTTGCCCATCTACGGAGTAACGGATGGGTTGTCGATTTCGGCGGGCTTCTCAATAGGGCCTGAAGAGGAGCTGCACTGAAGCACAGATCTGGCTCACGGACAGCTGCAAAAAATAAGTTTTACTCGACAATGAACGACCAAAATACCTTAGTGTCGTAGAGATGGCTCTATTACAAGGCGAAGTTAATTTTCCCGTTAAAAATTTAAAAAAATGTGTTTAACTTGACCTTGTTTGACAAAAATAGCATAGTCGGCCATTGACATTTGATTTGGTTAAACCTCGGAAGTTTCAAGAAAGGTTTTATAAGGATACAAAGTAAACAACTTTCAGATACGCCGACGTTACCCAATTCCGCCGGTAGGCACTGTCAAGGAGTTTTGAATCTCAAAAGGGAGCTGAAATAATGAACAGAGTATTTAACAAAGCATTTGCATCATACTCTTTTCTGGTTTATTTTCTAAATCCTCTAGAATTTCCGATAACGCAACAACGGACGTTTTGAAAAACCAATAAAATTTGTTATGTGATCGTCTCCATCGACCATGAGATGACCTTGGAACTGCATTAAATATCTTCGATCTTTTGTCGCCTTTATTAAGATATTCAACGAGTGGTAAGCCTTGCATATACAGTGTGCCAAACAAAATGGACCTTACGAGCAGCAAACCTCAAGACATTAAACTGAGTCTGTATTTTCCAGTATAAATTCGAAGTGTTCGATTTCAAAGCGAGTTCTAGGTAGTCATTAGCAGGTGATGGATGCATTGCGGTTGAGTCAGTTTTATCCGGCGGATTCTGACTCTGTTATACTTCAAAGCTTTTACAGAATTTTTAGAGTAAAGAAAATGTGTAGCAGCTAGACTGCAGGGCGTGAAATTGCGCCTAATACAGGCGCCAATGTCGGACCTTTTCCGGGACTTCTTTCTAGCTTTTCTTTCGTTAATTGAAAGTGAAATTTCGGAACAAGCGAGCAAAGGTTTGCAAAAATGCCAGGCGCAGTAATTTACGTTACTGTAACGTGAGTAGAGACAAAAATCCTCAAAGATAAACCAAGATAGACAGTCCGAGTTTTTTTTAACGGTTTTCACGCTCAGTTAGATTGCGAGTTTACGTACGGTAATAAAAATCAAACACAGCTAACACTTGTATAATATATAAAGTTTCGATTTCAAACAGAAAAAAACAGGAATGATGAAAAATATAACCTGGCATAACTGTTAAAATTCATACTAATCATGACGGTGTCAGAGCGACTTAAGGTCTATCGCGGCTGGCTAATCATGGCGATCTTCAGTCATCACAGTAGAGGAAGCCTCGGGAACTAAATCGACTACCCTTCGAGTGAAAAAATAAGAGCTTGCCCTGATTACCTTTCCGATGCGTTGAGTGGAAGGCCAGATCAGTCACTGCAACCGAGTTTTACGGCGTTGTCATTCCGAGTGATCTTCATTCTTAGTGAATTCGGCTGTTGTTCATTCATAATACATTGGCCTTGAACAGTTTGTATTCTACTTGTCATGTCAAATAACTTGCGTATTTTTGTGGGCCGCGATTGGGCCGAGTTTCACTGAACATTTCACTTTCAGATCCTGTATTAGAAACTAAAAAACTTCTGGCAAAAGTGTTAAATTCGACATACCGAGCTATTTTAGTTTGTAAACTATTGCAGAATATGAACTTTGATGGTTTGACATTTTTGACAGCTTTAGTCTTGTACAGCCAATCAGATTATTTGAACCATTTTAACAGGGATTCTGATTGGCTTATTGTAGCGTGCTTTATGAGAGTATAGAGCATGCTGACGACACTGTTGTTCGCTTTGGAAATAAGATTTGTTTTGAAAATTGAAAGTAATTCTTGGGGAATTTAACGGATTCTTTATTATAAAACAAATAGAGAAGCCTTGACTTTGCTCTGTTCTGTTGTAAAGCACTTAGGAAGCGGCTAGAGCACTCAAGAAGTGGGGAGAAACACTCGACTACGTCTCGTGTTTCCCCCTACACTTCTTTCGTGCTCTAACCGCTTCCTAAGTGCTTTATAACAGAACAGAGCACAGTCAAGGCTTCTCTATTTGTTAATTAATATCATTAATATTCTTAGAATCAGGTGTCATCTTAACAGCAAATAATATATGTCAATTAATCATTTAAATCCTAAGAATGAATAGTATTTCATTTCTTCCTACAATATCACTCCTGAATCACACATTAAGGTCATGAGAATAAAGGAAATGGTCATACACCAGGGAAGGAACCTTTGGATTGGCAAACAAATTCTCCTTGTCAGCACCTTACGAATAGTATGGAGAATATGCATGATAATGTTAGGGTGTAAAGGTTAATTATATAACTCTTGATTTATTTTGATGCATCGATGTCCAAACACGTCAATAGATAAAGATATACTTGGATAGTGTTAATGCAAGTCTTCACAACTGTTCTTTCTGAACACTCTTTTTTGATGCTTGTAAACCCTCGATATGTCCCGAGTTTTAATAGACTTCCTAATAGAATCTTGAATTTCTATGACATGACATGCAATTCGTTGACACAGTCATCTCTGACCTTGAAGAAATATGTTTTTTTTCTGATTTTTCCTTGACTGTGGCAACTGATTTATTAAAGTAATATGTTAAATCCTTTCAGGCAAAAGAAAATTAAATACACTCAAAACTGTTCTTCACCATCAGTTTCTGCTATGTACAAAAAAATGATAACTGTTTATATATATACATATATATTTATATATAGGAAGTCTGTGTTTTGATTTTTCCGTTTTACAGCCACCCCAAGTGATCTCACACATGTGGGATCATCTAAGCCATGTCAGAGTGCTCAAACTAGAAAAACTAGTGAGCATGCATATATATATATATATATATATATATATATAAGTGAAAGAATCAAAGAGGACGCATTGATTCTCTGTTACTCTAAGTTTCACGCCTAAGCGCTCGTCAGACAGAACTTTATTCAATGAAGAACATACCTCCTTATATACAAATTAGATGAGTAGCTAATTAATTTACTAGTGTGATGATCTGATCTACGTGTGAAACAAAGATTCTATAGAGCTATTGTTGGCGGCTTGTGAAATTTGCTGAGTAAAACTTATTCTCGTGGCGGCACTACAGCAACAAAAGCAAACGGTGCCACTTGTGCCTCACAGAAAAACTTTATTTAGTTAGAGCTAAGAAACCGTCTTTATTAAACAAAAGAACAGAACTCATTTCTTAGTGCCGCCACGAGAATAAGCTTTCTGCTGTCTCCAGTCCCCTGTTTTTCCGGGCGCTCGCCCCCCTGTACCCCTCCTCTAGTGTAGAACAAATACTTCGTGTGACCAAAAGATTTAATCCGGAAAATTGGCCGCACAAAAGCTGACAAGGGATAGCGATTTACGCCTTTACTAGGCTTAAAACTTCATACGTACATTAACGACAAAAGTGTTGAAGACGGAGTCATTTTTAAAGATAGTAACTTACGGCGTAATTTCTTGCAGTCGGTGATGAATATATGTAAGATTTTACGCCAGTAACTAACGGCGTAATTTCTTGCAGTCGGTATATACTGATAAACATACACTTTTTGTCAGCGTACTCTGCTCCACCATGTACTACCCATCCGAAAGTCGTTCCTTCCACGATGGGATCTTCCGAGCGTCCCTTGAATGTTTGCATGGTTCATATCTTGCAGTAGTTGTGATCACCCAGTATCACGTGTATTGAGTACTCTTAATTCTTCGTTTGAATAGCTTGTCTCGGGCGTGTTCGTACCTTGATTTCAACTCCCCGATAATCGGCCTTATTACGGTTGTGAAATCCGCCAACTCACTCGCAGTGATTTCTATCTGCTCACTTGTCGTGTCGTCCAGGGAATGAAGTCTAACTTTGAATATGGGCATGAAATGTTTTCGAACGCCGTTTAAGGCAACGATTTGGCGCGTTTCATGGTGTGAAGGCTTCAGAGTCAACTTCTTAATTGCGTCTTTGGATATAAAAACTCCTATCAGAGCCTAAGTCCAGATATGCCCATAATGTTACGTCTTGAACCCTCAGCAGAATGATGGCAGGCAAGGAATTTTCTTCAGAGTCTGGGGTGTATATGGGGGAACACCATGCTGTAACTCCTCAGTTTAATTAAGGCCTGGGTCACCCTGTCTTTAACCCACATTTTCACAAAATTTAGAATAACTTAGCTATTTTGCGAGGGATTTTTCTCATACT